CCTCTTGGGAGGCAAGGAAAGGAAGGAGCCGGGGTCACCTCTCCCACGGGCCTGAGTCCTGCCTGGCCCTGGGGTAGCAGAAGACCCCACCTGTGTCCACCCACCAGGCCCCTAAGCCCGAGGCACACGCAACTGGGACCAGGTCTCCCGCAGCACCCCGGGGCCCTGGTGGGAGGGGGAGGGACGCCTGTGTCACAGGGAGGGGGAAACCCGGCCTCGAGGAGGACCTTGCACCTGGCCCCGTAGCCAGTCAGTCAGCTACTACGTGCCGAGAGACAGGTTACCTTGCTGGTCTCTGGCGCAGAGCATGTGTCAGGCGGTTACCTCCATTATCACTTGCCTGCTCCAGGCCTCGGCCTCCTGATCTGTGCAACGGGCCCGGTCGGAGTGCTTGCTGAGGGTCTCGGGCACAAGCGTGACTTGAGAGAGGGCGTGTTGGGGCTGGCTCGGGCCGGGGTGGGAGGTCAGTGCTGGGGGACACGGTTGTCCTCTGTGTGGGGTGACACAGTCCTGCCTTCTCCACACCCAGGACACTGCAGAAACAGGCCTGGGGAACGCACAGTCCTCAGGCCCAGGAGGAGGAAAGTGAGCAACACAGTGGGTGCTTGGGGGGGGTAGGCCTTCCCATGCTGGGGGTAGGGTGCCAGGCATTGCACGGGGCATCCACCCTGGTGGGACAACACGGTGTTCTTTTTGTTTCCTTTGATTTCTGAGACAGGGTCTCACTATGTAATTCATGGTGGCCTTGCACTCGCTATGTATCCCAGGCTGGCCTCAGACTCACAGCAGTCATCCTGCCTCAGCCTCCCGAGTGCTGACATTGTAGGTGTGCACCACCACACCTGGCAACTCAGCTTTTCACTTTCCCTCCGTCACCAGTGTCGGAGGAGCCATGCCACTGTGGGAAACAGGAGGCTGCTCCCATCCCACTCCCCTCCCCTGGCTGGGATGTCTTCGGTGTCACCCTCTGGTCACCGCAGGGCTGGCCTCACTTAGCCTGAGCCTGGATTGAATTTATTTTCCATTTCCAGCAGATTAACCCAGCCGTGCGGCCAGTGGCGTGTGATCCCGGGCATGTCCTTCCAGGGACAGAGATGTCCTCCTTCTGAGGATGCTGAGGAGAAGAGTGAGATGGGGGGATAAGCACACCTCCAGGGCAGGCTGCACCGGGCGGCACTGTCCAGCCAGGCCCCTCTCCTGCTCCCGGGGTGTGATTTTCAGACCTGCCTGGTGCGAGTCACTTTGGACTGTATCGCAGGGACCCGCCATGGTGCACGGAACTGTTTCCCTTAGTGGTTTCGCCACCAAACCAAAGCCAAAGCTGCTGTGGGCATCTTCACACTGGGCCCCTAGAGGAGGGCACCGGGCTGTGGGTGACAAACCTCTGGCTTCGCTCTGTCAGGGACAGCAGGAAGCGTCACCTTTGAGAAAACGTCAGGGCACCTCTGGGTGCAGGACCTGCGACAGCTCAGCAGGACAGGGACGCGGTGGGTGTGGTGGGTGTGACTGGAGCTCTGTGGGTCTGATAATGCCTTTCCCCCTCCCGTCAGTACCAGCTGTATTACAAAGTACCACAGAGCTGTGGCTGAAATACCCAACAGTCACCAGGAAGCTGGAGTTCCCAGCTGGGGTGTCAGGGGGACACTTCCTCCCAAGGCCTCGCCCCTGGGCCTGCAGATGTCCCTTCTGTGCTCCCTGAGTCTCCCCTCTGTGTGTGCCCGTGTCCCAGCCCCTTCTCCCCAGGACACCAGTCCTGATGGCGCCCCCGAGGGACCTCTTTACCTTCAGCCCCTCCATAAAAAGCCCAGCTCCCGCACGGCCACATCCTGAAGTCCTGGGGTTCAGACATCGCGGGTGGATTTAAAGGGGACACGGAGCAGCCCTGACACTGGTCAGTCATAGAAACTCCAGGGTTAAGGAGCGCTGAGGATTCTGGGCTCCAGGATCACTCTCCAGGCGAGCCCCTGACACCGCCATCAGCCCGGAGCTCCCAGGGACACCCAGATGGGCGAGGCGGTGACCTGCCCAGGGCCACCCCACCAGCCAGGCCCGGCACACTTCAGAAGTGGTCCGCTTTCCCTAGGTGACCTGGGTCCCCTAGACATCAGGCAGAGCTCTGGAGGCCCCACAAACCACTTCCAGGGCAGTAACACAGTTCCCCACTCTGTGCCAGGCCAAGGACGCCAACAGGATGTGGAAACCGAGTCACGGTTTATGTTGGCAGCCACAGCCCAGGCCTGCTGTGCAGACAGCTGTGGTTTGGAAATCACTGGTCGAATCCGTGAATGACAGGGACACGAGGAACACACGCTCCACCACGTGGCGGGCTCCCTGGCCACACACCCACACTGTGGGGGCCGGGCAGAGTGCCAGGCCACTGTCCCCACCCGCAGCTTCATGCCCTGCTAACCTCAGGCAGGTCCGAGCGGGGCCGCCCTCCCAGGTTGGCTCCCAGCATTCTCTCCTGTGCCCTGCCGCCAGCCGGCTCGGCTGCTGCCCACCCAGAGACACTCAGGAGGGCCCCAGCGAGGCCGCAGGCAGCACTGCACGGCCTGGCTCTGAACTCCTCTTGCTTTGGTCTAGGGGCGCAGCCGGCTGTATGCAGCCTAAAGAGATGGCCGTGGAGCGGGAGCTGCAGCGGCACAGCCCTCTGCCTTGGGACTTTTCTCTCCGAATCATACTTGGCTGGTGCTTCCTGGAGTGTCCTTGGCTCTGAGTCTCCCTCCACTCCCAGGTGCCCCCCCCAACTTTCAACAAACCTTGGAGCCCGAAGTGTGTGTGATCCAGCGATGCCAGCGTGGCTGGGCCTGGAAGGGGCGGGGATGGGCAGGAGGCGAGGGTGAGACAAGGAGGACGAGCAGGGCGGCCGTCGGGTACAGAGCCGGGCAGTGCCAAGGCCCCCAGGGGCAGCGTGTCTGGCATGGTCTGGAGGGGTAAGGAGGAAGGGGCAGCGAGGGCTAGGGAAAGGAGAGCCTGGCCCAGGACTCAGTCCCAGGGTCAGAGCGAGGCTGAGAGTTCAGCCCGGGGTCTGAGCTCCGGCCCCAGGGGGTGCTCCTGGCCCTCGGATTCCGGCTCCCAAGCGGGCAAGTCTGGGAGTCTCACGATTGAAGCCGCTTTGTGTAACAACATCACGTAACCCGTGGGAAGAGCCGGCAAGGGAACCCCAGAGGTAAGGAAAGTGAGCTGGGGCACTCCTGAGAAGAGATGCCCCGCTTGCGGAAGCCGCAGAAGGAATGACAGTATTTCCAAACCCTCCCCTGGCTTCGCCTTAATTGCCACCGGCACCACTTTCTTCCTTATGCTTTAATCAGGCAATTTAGATTTACAGCAGTGCTCGACAGCCTTGATTTCTGATAAATGAAATGAAAATATAAAACGCGGCTGCACTGTTGGGGGTCCGCGTTCCTGCGCTCTGCTCACAGAATCCGGGGCAACTGCTCCCCAAAGTGGCACCCCAAGACTTCATCCACTGCCCCGCAGATTTCTACTGAGGACCTACTATGTGTTGGCCCCTAGGCTGTGCACGAGCCAGGCAGGTACAGAGCCCGGCTTCCTGTCCCCGAGACTCCGGATGCAATGTAATGAATAAGTAGATGACACAGAGCCCGGGGGCAATTGGGGTGAGGGGAAACAGGAGCCCGAAGGCCTTACGGCACCCCCGATGGGGAAGCCAGGCCAGACCGGTGGGCCGTGCAACATCTCCAGCTGAAGGTTTGCAGAAGGAGGGCTTGGCGCTGGGGGTCAGGGGGCAGGGAAGACGGGGCAGTGGGGACCCACCCGGCCGATGTCCTCAGCACCCCCAGCTGAAAGCGACCCGCTCCTTTCTGGAAGCTGAGAATCCGTTCAGAGGCAGCCACTGTGGACAGTGACAGCGGGCTCTGGAGAATTTGCTGTGACCAGGTCCTGGCCCGGGGGCCTTGGGGATCACAGGCCTCTTGGGGGGTCCGAAAGCAGCTCAGAAGCAGCCTCTGGCTGTGCACAATGGGCCCGTCACCCTCGCCTACAGTCCACCTTGCCAGGTCTCATGGGGCCCCAAAGGCTGTTCAGTCCTTCACCAGTGACCGCCACCTGCTTCCGCCATCAGCTGCTTCCACTCGCTGTGCCTATTACCGCCAGCAAAGCGGGGTGCGTGTGTGCCCACCTTGCTTGTGTGGCTGCAGTAGGGCTAAATCCATGACAAATGCCAGGGCTCCCCCACGGCTGAGTCACGGTTTCGGGGTAGGTGGGGAGCCTGTTTGCAGAGTGTGTTTAAATGTCGGCTGGGAAGGGGAAACATTCAAGAGAGGGCAACGGCAGAGGAAGCAGCACTTCCTGATCACAGGCCGCTGTCTCACGCGCTCGCAGGCCTCGGAACTCATCTCAGGTCACATGGGAAGTCGAGGGGCAGAGCTGCCCCCGGCCCCGCCCCACGTGCAGCCGCCTCGGCTAGCACGACCCACAGAGCCCGCGGGACCCTGGGAGCCGCAGCTGATCGAGGGAGGGATGGAGACTGCGGCTCGCAGAGTTCCAGCTCAGGGGCCCGGGCCGCAGGTGACAGGCATCGGGCCCTCCCGGGGGAGACTAGGCAGCAGGCGGATGGACGAGAGAGAAAGGAGGAGGGTCGGTGTTATAAATACCACCTGGAAGAATTCCTCCTGCCTCCTGCTCCCCAGGCGAGCTGCCCGGAGCGATTCCTGGAATGAAGCGCTCGCCCACTGTTCAGTGAAAGCCGCCTTGCTCCTGGTCCCAGTGGGAGGGTTTTAAGCTCAGGCCTTAATGCAGAAACTGGCCCTCATTATATTGATTCCATTATAGCAAAATACCCCTGAGGCGCTGGGTACCAGGAGGAGGCCGCACGCAGGGAGCCCCGAGGAGACCCAGGTTGTCCAGCGGGCTGGTCTACAGGATGATCCAGCAACTCCCGCTGCCCACGGAGCAGCTCTGCGCAGCCTCTGGCTGGAGACTGAGGGGTCTGACACAGCCTCAATCATCCCCGCCCCGGCAGGTGGCGGCTTCCACACCCAGGGCGCCATTTCTCAGAAGCCAGGCCCTACAGGGCCAGCCCCAACCTGGCTTCAGGGGCCAGCGGGAGCTCAGGACTCACCTGAACAGTCAGCCCTGACTGGACTTTCGGGAGCGAGGCCCCGATTCCATCCCCAACACTGCAAGAGAAACAGGGTCATCAGAGTTTGCTGCAGGCTTGGAGAGCTGGGCAGGAAGACACACGTTGGCTGCACTACCCCATCCTCTCAGGGCTTCACAGTGGGGCTGCAGCCCTCCGGCCACTTCAGGGGTCAGAGCCGCCCTGGCCACACCCATCCAGCTGGCATTGGAGAAGTGGGTCCTGTCCCCTTCGCCTCTTCCTGTCAGCTCAGCAGGGTGCTGGGTTCTCAGCAGCGCTAACCCAGCTGGGAACCGCACACGTGAGGGATCTAGTTGTGCGTGCCTTTGACTCACTCCAAAACTGTCCATCCACCCCAGCCCACCCACCCCCATCTACAGAAACATTGTCTTCCGTGAATTTGGTCCCTGGTGCCAAAAAAGTTGGGGTCTGCTGGTCTAGTTACCACAGCACCCTGATTTCCAGGGTGGACACTGACCCACGGACCTGTGCATGACGGTGGTGATTTCTCTGGAAAGCAGAGGACCCGTTCTACCTGATTTGCCCCTAGGAGTGGGGAGCTCTCTATACCTGCATGGATGGCCCATTCAGATATCTCTCCGGCTCCCAGACTGGGCCTCTCCTCTGGATCCGCCCAGCGGTCCCCTGCAGGGAAGCCCTGCTCTTGGAGACACAATGCATAGGGCCATTGTCCCTCCTCCCAAGCCTAGGCCTGCAGAGCTGCTCAGTCCTCTCAGTCAGAGCCATTAGCACATTCCAGGGGGAAGCCTGGTAGCAATGCGCAGCACCTATTGTGTGCTCCAGCAGCTCCTAGTAAGGGCCACTTGGCATACACCTCTCATCCCGCAGCACCAGCTGCCTGAGATCACTGTCCCCACTTTATACAGGAGGAACAGGCCGGGAGAGGTCTGGGGGCTCCTCAGGGTGGCCTGGCTAGGTTTTGTCTCCGGCTGGGGGGCTAGATCTGCAGCGGCTCTGAGCTGTTAGACCCTCCCGCCTCTGCATATGGAAACTGGGAGGGGAAGCAGGAGGGGAAGCAGCATGTGGGGCAGTGAGAACAACCATCCACCCTCTTGGGGCACCTGGGGGGACAGGAGGAGTGTGACCCACCTGAGTGGGGGGTGAGAGTCACCTTGTTCCAATACCTGGTCAGTGAGACTGAAGGTCACCCCTAAAGCGGCACAGCCCGGACTCGCACACCTTCCCCTCCCCCGGGGACCTCAAGGACGGCGGCCGGCGCTGGCTCAGCAAACTGGAAGATGGAAATGCTGCTGCTCGGCTTCCCTCCTCTCCCACACAGCTGGCGGGGTTCGGCCTGGTGCCCGGAGATGCTGCAGCAGCTGGCTACGCTGTGAGGGGCCAGTCCTTCCACACACAGCAGGGAGGGCAACGGTGGGATGTTTGCTGTCCCGGGCTATTCTTAGCTCCTCAGGGCCCAGGCGGTGAGGCCAACAAGGTCACTCTACCGTCCCCAAGCAAGAAGAGGCTCAGAGGTGGACCTGCCGATGGAGGACCTCGGGTCTGTAGCTCCAGAGCAGAGGCCTGGACTGCTGGCTGCCAGAGGCCCAGGGCAGACACCAGGCCTTGGTGTGGGGGAGAGGTGGGGCTGCACCCTGAAGGAGGCAGCACAGTAAACTCTCTGGGGTCTGGGAAGAAGCTGTGGGGGGAACCAGGGATCTCCAGGACATATGCAGCCCCTGGTTACGTGATGCTGAGCAGACCAGGAAGGTGGGTGTCAGTGGTGTGACAGTTCCTCTCCCATCACCTGATATAGTGCCCCACACCCACAGTTTAAGGGAGGAGGGGTTCAAGGTGGCTCTCGGTGCAGGGGGTTCAGTCCATGGTACGGCAGCTGCAAGGCAGGAAGGCAGGGTGGAGGGGTCTGGTGGAGGAGAGCTGCTCACATCAGGGCAGCCAGGAAGCAGAGCAAGAAACAAGGAGCAGAGACAGGAATACTTCTGGGTCACACTCCAGTGACTCAGCTGTTCCACCTCCTAAGAGCACATTCAGCCATGAACTTGTAGCACCCCATGATCTGGTCACCTTCTAAGAACCCTGCCACTGAATGCGTCAGACTTTTTGGGGACATTTTAGATCTGAACCTTCACAATAGCTGTCAGAGAGCCAGAGAAGGGTTTGGGGCAGGGTGGTGACAGGAAGAGGGCTATGTTTTGGCAAGACCCCTCTCCACAGAGGGGGTAATCATTACATGCAGAATGTTGGGGACAGCACCCGGCACCTCAGTAAAGGCACTCGTTCCTCCTACCTGCAGGTTCCTTTTCCGTGGATTTGCCCAACAGCAGACTGAAAATATTTGAGAAAATATCACATCTATACCAAGCATCTATAGACTTTTCTGTCATCACTTTTTAAGCAATGCAGCATAACAGCTGTTTATGTAACATTTCCATTGCACTGGGCATTACAATAACACAGATAGGATTTAAAGTGCATGGCAAGGCACGCATAGGTTCTGTGCAGACCCCAGACCATTTTGTACAAGGGACCTGAGAATCCTCAGATTTCGGAATCTATGGAGTCCCAGGATGAATTCCTTTCAGATTCAGAGAGGTGATCATCTACGTAAACTGCTTACAACTGTTTCTGATATCTCAATAAATAGTAGATACAGGAAAATTATTTTTACTATTTTATTGGCTTCTGAAGTCTCACCTAGCCATTATCCACCCCTTAGCCCACCCAGCCATGCACCCATTGTCTATTTGCCCCGCATTCACTTATTTATCCACTTACCCATCAATTCATATCTTCAGCCTGGATATAGCTCAGTGCCACATTTGCCTGGCAAGCACAAGGTCCTGAGTTCAATTCTCAGTACCAAAAAAAAACCCCTCAACCCTTCATTCATCTCTTCATGCACCCAACTGTCCACTTGTATTTTCATCTTTCCATGAACTCACTCCCTTATCATCCACCCACCCACTCATCCATCCATCCATTCATCCATCCATCCATCCATCCATCCATCCATCCATCCATCTACCCATCCATCCACCTATCTACTTATCCATCTACCCATCCATCCATTCATCCATCCATCCATCTATTCACTCATGCATCCATCCATCCATCTATCCA